ATTAATTTTTATGTTCATTTGTCATCAATTGTCGTAATTACCAAAAAATATATTTTTATATAAAAATCAAAATTTCTTTGTTGTTTGGTATTATAAATTTTAAAAGAACTAACAAACAAAATTCTAATTTAATATAAATGTTTTTAAAAATTAACTTTTGATTTAACTTCAGTTAATTTAATCTTAACTTAACTTTAACTGAGTTAATTTTTTGTTCATACAACTTTTAACTTAACTAAATTTTATAAGCAATTAACTTTAACTTAACTTAGTTTTAAAAAAATCATTAACTTACCCAACCCTGATTATTATTAATATTAATATTAATATTTATAAATATATTATAAATATTTATAAAAATAATCATATTAAAAATAATATTTATTTTATTTTATATTTATTAATATTTATTTATTATTATTATTCTTAATTATTATTAATTAATTATTTACGAATTGCGTTCGATTGATCGATCAAGACAGAAAAAAGCGATAAAAATTTCTTTGCTTCGATTGGTTAATCAAATGCTACTCATCTGTTCCGAAGAGTAAATTTTAAAACGCAACTCATCAGAGATATCTTCATCGCATATAATTGCATTTATTTTTATACATAGCTAATGTCGTGAATTAATTAAGATTTCATTAAAAATTTGTACTAATTTGTTACGCTAATCTATACAGAATTAACATTTTATCGTTCTACTTATGATTTTTTTTAGTTAACCTGAAAATTAATAAGCAGAGATAATGAGCTTTGTAGAAGTTGTTAACCAACAATAAATTGGGAGATAAAAAATAAGAAGAGATTACATAAATATAAATTAAATTATTTTGTTCATAAATCGATCTGTACACAGAGAGAATTTTTTCTTGGAATTTACCCTAAAAATTATGTGAGAATATGATATTAAAAGAATTTTATGTAAGAGTTTCTCTGATTAAATATTTATCACAATAAAAAATATTAAAATATCTACCACAATAAAATATAAAATATATTCGATTAATTTTACTATATAAATAGTAAAATTTACTATATAAAAATAGTAAAAAATTTACTATATGTATGTACATATTAATATTTTTTATTGTGATAAATATTTAATCAGAGAAATTCTTATAAAATTCTTCCATGATTTTCAAGATAAATTCTAAGAGAAAATTCTCTCCGCGTAGAAGAAAAGTTTGATATAAATAAAGTGTCATTTTTGTAATAGTCTTCTTATCAAACATTTATTTAATAATTAAATCTCAATGCTGACTAATGGTGACTGAATGCAAGCCCGCACATTTCTAAACTCAGAATGCATGTTTTATCGCATAGGTAGGCGTTAGTAGAACTGGCTTAGAGAGTTACACAAGAAAAGTTGCAAGTAAAAGTACAGACGCGAATTTTGCATTAAGAAAATTAAACATATTCTCATATATATATATAAAATATTTAAAAGAATTATTTATATTCATATAAAATATTTAAAAGAATTATTTATATTTAATTTCTAAAGATTCCATATCTCTAATCTCGAAGAATAGTTTTCAAATTTTATTAAATATGTATGCGTGTTAAATAAATGCGGCATAAATAAAGAAGACTCTGCGATAACACTGAGTTTAAGGCTGCGATACTATTTTACTCGCATGATGTAATGCACAATATTCGTACGTTGAATCGATAACGCATAGAAATGTGCAAAAACTATTACGAACGATCGTTTCTGTAATTTTTGTCCTGTTGATATTCTTCTTGTGTCACGGTTATCGCCTGACATTAGCAAAATAAGGCAGCAATCTCAATAAATGCGATATCTGCATTTTCACCGAGTGTATTTCGATCGATGACATCGCGAATGAAACGCCACGACTACGCGTAACATATTTATTTACTTACATAGTTGAAAAAATTGTGTTAAATTTGACAGATATCACATGTCCCAAACGGTCCACAGAAATTTTTCTGTTAATTTAACATAATATGGACATGTTCAATGGAGACATATATACTGTGTTAATATTTTAACACGAAATAAATGCAAAACTTCAAGTAATTTAAAATAAATTTTTTTGTGTAAAATTAACATAGAATTTTAATGTAAAAATTAATTAAAAATATATTAATTTTAGATTTTATCATTCCCACTTATATTATAAGATAAAAAATCAACATTTTTTCTGCAAATTTGAACAGATATATCGTGTCACTAAAACAGAATATATTTATTGTGTAAAATAAAAAATATTTATTGTTAAAAATAAATGTATATTGTGTTATTTTTACATCCTTTTTATTTTAATAATTTAACATTTAAGTTCAATTAACACAACAGCAATATTTTAAATTAACACATGAATGAGTTAAATATTTAGCACAAAAATTTTAACGGGGACCGTTTTTAACAAGAAAACACAAATTTTACTACAGTGTATGCACAAATAAATGATATTCGTAAATTCAACCAATATCGACAATTATCTCATTTCGTTCCGCGAGAAATTCGGATGCGAAAACGTTATTTATCCCACACTACACCTCGACTCTATACTGATTACATCGTCAAACTGATAAGATAGAGAGTTCTTATCGTGCAACTTTATTCAGTTAAGTTTGTTAATATTCGCGATAGAGAGTCTCGTTGAAATTGATAAAAACGAGAGGGAAAAGAACGCGAGATCTCTTTTTGCATCGATAATCTTCGAAATACATGCAAAATAAATCGGCATATAATAGAAATAACGTCGGTGCTTTAGGCTCTTATTTGAGATAGTAAGGATCCGTGAATCTTTTGAAATCATTAAACTTTATTATCCCATAATCCGAGCATTGTACGCGAGTATAATGGAGCCGGCTTTCAAGACCAGCGGCGCAATGAGACTCTCTATTGAAAATAATTAGGGGTTGATCCCGATGCAATTGATACGGAAAGTATATCAAATCCTTTTATTCCTTTGACGATCGGCCTAGTAACGTCGTGACCTTGATGATAAAAAGTCACGTTTTGAAGATAAATATTATATTAATGTTCATTCGCATTGCAATAAAATAATTTCTACATAGAAAGAATATTTTCTTAGAATTTATCATGAAAATCATGCTAATCGTGGGACAATATATGGTATTGAAAGAATTTTATGAGTTTCTCTGATTAATACACTGAAAAAATTATTAAATTAAGAAATATTTATTTCAATACTGCCTAATAAATCATTTATTTGAAACAAATGATTATTTATTTTGAAAGGATTTTCTTATATCAAATAAATATTTTTTCACATCAAATCAATATCATTAGTTTCGAATAAATGATTTATTAAGCAGTATTAAAATAAATATTTAATCGAATTCAATAATTTTTTTTCAGTATATTTATTAGGTACAATAAAAATATTAATATCTACTACAATAAGATATAAAATATGTTCGATTAATTTTACTAAAATCTATAGTAAAATTTCAATAATTTAAAATACATTAAAAATTATTAAACACTTATGATTCTTCAAGTGTTTTAAATAGAATAGATACTAAAAAAGTGATAAACGTATAAAATATTTTATATAAATTTTAATAATATTTTTAATCCAACTTAATCATTTATGATATTTTTAACATGCAGTATGATAATTTTCGGTTTATTATCAAACATGATAAAATTTGAATTTTAATTATTTATTGTTCATGTCAAGAGAATTTTTTATATAGATCGCAATTTTTTTCTTTGTGTCTTATGAAGAACTAAGCGAAGAAATTAAAATTTCCTTATCGCACACGCGCTTTTTTCAATCGAATTATCAAGTGTCGCGATGTACTTTAATAGAATAGCTTACGAGATGACCCATTTTCACCTACTTGACTTAAATGCTCGATAGATCAACAACGTTAAACTTCGTTATAAAGTGCCAACTTCTACTATCACATAAAAATACAGGTTTAACAATTTTCATAATAATATGAAAAGTCGATTGATTAAAAAAACAGCTAATAAAGAGTATAAATTTTGTACAAAAAATAATCAAAGCTGCAAGTACCAAAAGTTATAAATAAATTTTTGCACATATATGCTTTTGAAAAAAATGCAAGTGATTATTCAATAAAAATTAGCTTACACGCGCGCAAACTTTTCTGTTGCTTAAAAATAACATCTTTAATATCTCTTCGCGATATTCATGAACTTATTGTTCGCAATTAGTAGCTAAATATAAATTTTGTTATATATAGAGACGAAAATCGTGGTCCTGTCCTAAATAACGCGACAATGCGGAATTGTCAGAGTCTTAAGAAGATTAGCGGCATTCGGCTAAACGAGAAACGACGAACCTTTGCGCAAGAAATGCATAAATTACAATGGCTGCGCGAAAACGCATTGGCGCGCATTACGCTAATTCTTATGTAACTAAAACGGCCAGAAATTGAGGCTCGCTCTCTCGGTGCACGAGTACGCGACTTCGTCGATGCGTATATACACGGCTCGCAAATGGCTCGGCAACTATGCAAATTTAAGTGCAGGATGATCCATCCGTTCGTTAAACGCGGCGAAGGTCTTCGTCGCGTTAATCCGCGCGAATTTTTTGCGAATCGCGCGTAGAACGAAAAGTCGCCGAAAAATCGCGATTAAAATCGTAAATAAAAGAAAAGGAAATTAAATCAAGTATTAGAACGATAATTTTAAGGTACGAGAATAGTTCCTGTATCGCGAGTTTTTATTTGTGTCCCCAAGGATGCATGGAACATAAAATTCATGATGACATCATGATAATGTCACTTAAAATTCATTTTGGAAAAATATTTTTATATATTACATAATTATTTATTTATTCTAGTGTTCGCACAAAATTATTTTTTTTTTTATTATTTTTGTCCAGATAACTTTTAATGAATAAAAGCATGATATTTTACCTAAGATTCTCTAAATAATTCTAGTCATTTTTTAATCAAATGCTATGAGAAGTTAGTGACAAATATAAAATTTTTCTATGTTTATACATACTTCAGAATGTTATAGAAGGAATTATTAAAATATGCAGGAAATTAGCGATGACACAGTTTTAAAAGAGCAATTAGAGAAAGATGTATATGATGAAGAGAATGAAGAACAGCAGTTGGGGGAAAGATCAATAGAAGAGATAGAGGAAGTGACTCAGGAAATAAAAGAAACAGAGAGCGATGAAAGGGACGAGAAAATAGATAAAAGCATTGCGACATTTTTGCGTGACAAAGGTTTGAGTGAAAATCTCATCGAGACATTGATTAATACTGGTCTTACGGATGAACACGTCAGGTTAATTAAAAATTCATAAATTGCATAGATACATTATTTTTTTGTATTAATTAATCAAAATTGTAATTTATTATATTTATATTTGTATTATTTATTATATTTATTATATATATATATATATATATTTAACTAAAATAATATTATAAGAGGAATTACTTTCATATGCGATACACTGCAAAAAAATTGTGAACTTGACTAAACCTTTCAGCTAAATCACTATTTTGTTAATTAAACATATATTAGTATTTAAGTCAAATATACATTTTGTTAGATTTAATATGTTACATTTAATTTAAATATTTTTATGTGTTCAATTAACAAAATAATATTTAGTTGAAAGATTTAGTCAAGTTAATAAATTTTTTTACAGTGTATAAATAAGTGTTAAAATAACATAAAAAGACGATGTTAAAAAATAAATCCTCATTATCCCTCCACATGTTATTTTCTTATAGTTTCTTTTTTAAACCTCTTTGTCTTCTCAGACTTTTAAAAGCTTTAAATCTAACCGATGACGACATTGATAATTTGCGAGATTTATGGCGAACAAAGATCGAAGTTAGCAAAAACAGCGATTCTATTAATTCCTCTACACTCGACGATTCGTCGTCTGATGAACATTTGTCACCGAATAGTGTCTATCTAAGAAAAGTCTTGAGCAAACCTTTGATCCAGGCTCTTTGCGAAATTGTGGCAAAGAAACCGACTGATCCCGTGGAATATTTGGGCCATTGGTTACTTCATTTTAAGGTCAGTTAATTTAAAAAAATACAAGAATTTTTCATTGAATATATATACGAGAATAAAAAAATATAAAGTTACATTGTGTGTTAATTTATGTACTTATATAGATAAGAATAAAGATAATAAAAGATAATAGAAAAATAATAGAAAGTAAATTTTAGCTCGATTTCTATTAATTGAAAAATTCTATTGATGTCGAATACAAATTTTGATTTTTATTTAAGTCCTCTTTTCAGCTTACAAAATTGATAACTAAATGAACAAACTTCAAAATCTTTTCATTATATGTAATGTATGTTATAATTTGTACTATTGAATGCTTGATGACTTTTGTATCAATGAGTCATAATTAAGTGTTTTGAATCTATTTACGCATTTATGATGTTATATTTCATGTCACAAAAATAATTAATAATCTTTTTTTATTCAACTTTTTTCAATGATAGAAAGATATATATCTGTGTGATTCTCTAACAACTCATAATTTTATTTTAAATAAGAATTTCAATTTACTATAGATGTATTTTTATATAAATAAGAAATATAAATTTTAGATTTGCGAAGAACGAATTATGCAGCAGAAAGAACGTGATTTTGAACTTTTGATCAATAGGGAAAAATTGAAAATGAAAGTATGGACTATATTTTACACATTTTATCGATTTTCCTAAGTCATGTATATATCTTTATAATATTTAATATGTAAAAAATATTTATATTGTACAACAGGAAAGCGAAGACAAACAAGATCTTCCTATTGAACAAGAAAAAGTAGATGAGATAACAAGTTCCTTCAATGAGGATGCAAATTACCTCAATAATTATGATGATAATGCATAAATTGATTATTAGTTCAATGTATATATGCAGAATCGAAAAAAAAAAACAAAAAATTAAATAACTATAATTAAGAAATTTTTTGAAATAATTTTATATAAATAATATAAAATTTTATATCCTTTTTTTATCATAAAAAAATAAATTCAAATTTTTTTATTCTATCCTATTATATATTTTATTCATATTTTATTTATATTTTATTATTAATCTTTATCATTATTTTATGGGCGAGAAATATAGATTTAAAATAAAAGATTTTTTAAATAAATTTACTTACCATAAACACTTTAGAAATAAATTGATCGAAAGATATCGTTAATTCACGACATTTTTGTATTTCTCTCGGACGGTTTTACGAAATGTATATGAGAATTTGATCACACAATCACAGACATGGACGCCGACAGAATTATTTTTAGGGAGATGCACCCTAAAGAGGATGCACTGGAAAAACAGTTTTTTCCCTAGTTTATAATTATATTATTGTTAACATCATTTATGTTATTTATTGAATCTTAATAAAGATGCATTAATAATTGAAAAATTCTAATTTTTATATTGCAGATCTGTTAATATAGTTAAAGAATTGCAGTTTTACAATTGCAAATAGTTATATTTAATCATCACATTTTTGTTCAATTAAAAAAATTATAATTGATTTTATTCTATATTACATGATTTTTTTTTACTAAATATTTTCTCTGTTGCTTCCCCATTTATTTTATAGAACAAAGCCAGGGGGATGCAAATGCACCGCCTTGCACCCCCCTCGCGGCGCCCATGCCTGCATTCAACAGAATAATATATAAAAATGAAAACAAGATATACAAGTTACAATTATATGCAAATAAAATATATGATTAAAGAACGCGATTTTTTCTCAAACGTACAGAAATGTATCATATTGTCAGAAAAAAATGAAAATATTACCTTGGGTATTAACATTGCATTTGTACTATCAGCAGCATTCGTATTGTAATTCCTACACCCTGTATGCGCATTTAATAAGCCTCGTAACGTGCATTTTCTACAGGTTTACTGCCTGTCCAAGAGCCTGCAAAGATTTCAGTAAATTACAATGATATAATGTAATGTAAAGAATATTCTCATAATATAGTAATAAATATGCAATTTGCATATAATCCGAAGTTTAGTCATTTTATTCATCATTATAATAAAAAGTAGCAATACACATACAATAGATTCTTCACAAAGACATGCTTTGCATTCTATGATTGCAATGATCATATAAGTTATACAAAATTTACATGAAAATTTAATTTATTAGTTATAAAAAAAGCACCAAATCTTTCTTTAACATTAAATAGGATTCTTAACAAAATTCTTCATTATGTAATCCGACGAAATATAATTGTAGAATTTCAAGAAATAAATATAAGAAATTAAAATTTTGAAACTCATCTATTTTATATTCATGATATAGGACTTACTAATTACAATAATGATATACTTACTCGAGCGTTCTGTGTCCTGCCTGTCCTAACGAAGCGGATTGCGAAGATCGAGTGAAACCGATTTGCGGCTTCCACCGATTCCCATTATTGCGATTCATAGCCTCGAAATCTTGCGGTTTCAAAAAGCGCGGCGGTTCTTAGCCCCTTTCAGTTTACGAGCGAGGAAAACATGACTGCTACTGTACTTATAGGATCCCGGTATTTGACACTATTCGAAACAAATAAACATTTCTAAAGAAAATGTCCACAAAATTATAATTACGCTAAATAATACTACGTTTTTAGTTAACGATACAGCGGTATCTGAATAAGTATTATACAAGATGGCGGCGAAAGAAAATTTTTGAATGAGAAAAACGGCGCGAATTTTTGAATTCATCGATCGATCTATCGCACAAATTAAAAAACTCGCCAAAGTTTTTCAATACCCAATCGTCGCACATTTGTGCAAATGCAATTGCACATGTGATGCTGTCAAACGCGTAACATTAATTAATTATAACTGCGTGTCATTTAATAATATAATACATATAGAATGACATTAGCGATATTTGATAAAAATATGCAACGAGCTATCCGTATCCTACTGTGTTTGTATTATATATTTTCGTTTATAATAAAAAATATATACGAACCAATAGACATTATTCCTAACTGGCAAACCTGACAGGTGAAGGCAACGTGCTCCTGTCACTCACACATCTGCTAAGAGTACGTACAGTGCCTCGCATACCATTTATGCTTATTTCAACCTCATTATTAGATCCTACGTGATTCATATATAAATCTTTTATAAACTTATAATTGCTGCTCCCTAGTCCGATGTACAGTCTGTCATCACCACAGAGAATGTTTCTCTTTTCTAAAAATAACAATGTAATATTAATTTAACAAGATTGATGCAACGCTAGCAAGCTTCAATGCAACACTTATATAAAATCTTTGTTTCTGTACGACTAGTATCTTCGAAACTTATGATTCAAAAAATTATACAACAGATTAACATTAATTTTTGAAGAAATATCAATTAAAACGGAATTACATTAAAATGTACTTTTATATCACTCACTTTCTGCTTCCGTTAAGCTATCATAATGTGCCAAAGCTTTAAATAATTTTTTTCATCAAGAAATGGAAGCAGAGCTACGCCCTGCCATACAAATTTCTTTCCATTTAAGTCAAAATTAAAATCTTCTGGATAAAAGTCGATAATATAAGATTTCTGTAAATAAATAATACATGATAAAAATATGTATACATATATAAGAAAAATTCTAAAATCACAAAGTATCACAATTTGACGCATAGTTTGTCAAATCATGAATTCGAGTGTATCAACAGACTAATGTTTTTATACTATCATGCTTTTCAATCATTCCTCTAATTGTTATACATACTGGATCGATCATTAATTTTACCCATGGTGCAGATAAATGTTTTTTACTACCAGCAGGAAATACACCCATCAATTGCTTTAATGAATGAAACTGCAACAAAACATCATTAAATCATGAGCTAGATATGCAGAAATATTATACATTTATATTTTGCCGAGACTTACCGGTATAGTATCTTTCTCGAATTCTGTAGAGAGACCACCGATGTTAATAAAATCGCTTGCAAACGGTGCATAGCGATAAGGGAAATAACATCTCCATGCAAACCTTGATAATAATATCGCAAGATCCAACATAAACCACATATGTATTGTAAAGCGACGTTATATATTCCTACTAGAAACAAACAAGTAAATGCTATGTGTAACGTAACATGTTAACTCTTTAATGTAAGTTTTATTTATTAAATCAACAAACGAGTATTCGCATATAAAAATTATTCCAACTACTTATTCATTATTACCTAAAGGCAAGGTTATCAGGAGATGCGTCGAATTTAGATTCGTAATCTCGATCTTTGAAACCATCTCCTCAAAGTCGCACTTCATCATCGCCGTCTGCTGTTGCTTCTTCAATTTTACGCTTTTGTTCTCGGAGCACCGACACGACCGGGAATCCGAAGATCCGTTTGGGCGCGCAATTGAGAAATTTCGCGTTTGAATATCTCAAGATTGTAAACTCGCGCTGTGATAGGCCGACCGATACACCATAATCGTAAGCAGCGTTCACGTGTGATTGAGATGGCCGTGTCGTAATCATAAACTGTCCTCGACTGTGATTGGCCGATCGTCGCGTCCTAAATAATGAACAAGTCTAAATTGATCAAACTTCAATTTTATATAAGTGTCACACCGATAATATACGAGTAGATCTTGTCATTTGGAGACGATTTTTTCTCAACAAAAATGTCGAAGGAAGTCATCATTTTTTGCATGTTCCTAATTTTTGCCATTATTATAACTAAACCTTATATTAAAATTTTATTAAAGTAAACTCTACTTGAAATTAATTGGAGATAGAATGTGATTTTGTTAATACTTTATTTCCACAAGCCTGAGTTTCCGAAAAACCCTTTATTTTCAATCGCTTTTAACTCGAAAATGATTGACGTCTCAAGGTTTTTACCGAGGAAAAATTGTCTCCAAATAAGAACATCTCTGTATATTTTCGGTGTGACACCTTATGTCAGATACCCTGTACATATATATATGTATATATATATGTGTATATTATTGAAATATGTATATATAGCTTAAATTTCATTTATTGTGATAAAGTAATTTTTTAAGAATATCAAATATCTTATTCTGTTAAATAATGGTATAGTGATAATTGATGAAATGTCAAATTCTTTAACTTTTTTTAAAATATTTCTATCTTTTAATTCTCTCATTGAAAATAATTATGTCAAATAATCTTTTTATTTTTTCTATATATTATTGTAACTATAATGTAAAACATTTTGTTGATTCATTAATATTTATTTGTTCTTAATGATAATTTAACCCAGCAAACACCAATATATATAATTGTTACATTGCTATAATAAAACGGAATATAACAGGTAATATAACGTGAATATGTAATATTAAAAATGTTACATCTATGAGTGGGAAATTACAACTAACATATACATTACATGTAACATGCTTAAGTATATAACATTTATATAATGTGTTTGCTGGGAAATCTTAAGAATATCAAATATCTTATTCTGTTAAATAATGGTAGAGAGATAACTGATGAAATGTCAAATTCTTTAACTTTTTTTAAAATATTTCTACCTTTTAATTCTCTCCTTGAAAAATTTATATCAAATAATCTTTTTATTTTTTCTATATATTGTAACTATAATGTAAAACATTAATAATAAAGAAATAAAGTTATGTACTTGTACATTTATATAATTTACATTATATATAATTATTTGCTTAGGCAGGAGATGCCCTGCTAGATGACGGACATGTCGCGCCATCTAGAGGGAATTTTTATATTAAATTGGATGATCCGCGTGCCATGGGGAATTTTTTTCCCCTCTAATGTTACGTTGGCTAACCTGAGGTCAGATCGCTTTTGTAGAAAAAAATCGCTTATCAATGACGAAAGAGAGCTTTTTTTATCAGCTGGCTGTATGTAAACTGGAGGTCACATATATCTTCACGCCTAACGCTGGGCAATTCCGCGTAATCACGAAACGTGGACACAGATTAATAGATCTATTAATCTGTGACGTGGATGTGGATTATCTCGTGCACTATAATGCGGAAGCTCTTAGCTTCAGATATGAAAACGTACACGACGCCAAGTGTATCGCGAGTTTATTAACCTTAATGCGAGTTTGACAGAGCGTGGGACGCTTGACGTGTGACATCACACTTGCATGACTAATTTCATTATATGTCCTTTTATATTTTGTTACGCGTACAAGTAACAAAGGTGAGTTATTTTTCTTGATTTTCTCGATTCTCTTATTCTTTTTTTACATCGTAAATTTAATTCCATTGAAAATCTGTGTTCGATATGTATTTTAATTAACTGTTGCGTCGTTAATGAAGATTGCAACGTGTACATTTTTTTATACGTCAGAAGAATGATTCTTTGTTCGATTTTATAACATTATTAATTTAATAAAGATTGTAACGTATATTTTATTTTATACGTCAGAAAAATGATCCTTATTTGATTTTATAAAATTATTCATTATTTTAATAAAGGTTGTAACATATACATTTTTTATTTTGTCAGAAAAATGATCGTTATTCGATTTTATAAAATTATTTATTTTAAAAACTGTACAATGTATATATTTTTATATATCAGAAGAATGATCCTTATTCGATTTTATAAAATTATTAATTGCCTTGAAATTTATCTAGCAATTTCAAAATGATTGCATCGGAAGTTGGGTCCACGAATGCGGAGCCTGTACATGTCAGGATTACAAGTGAGAAAGCTCCGCTGATCCATGGTAGAGGGGTACTTCAACGACTGAGTAATATTTTTAAATTTGGAAGGACGCCACATACAGAGGGAGATGGCTATGTTGAGTTTGGTAACCTTGGTGTGGATAGCACTCGTACATTGGGAACCTTTGCTGGTGTATTCAGCCCAGTTACACTGTCTATGTTCAGTGCCTTAGTTTTCATACGAATGGGTGAGTAATGATTCATAAAAGTCTGACATTCTATAATATACAAGTGTCTATTAGTTATTAATACTGGCAAATTTCATTACAGGATACATTGTGGGCAACGCAGGATTACTTGTCACTTTAGTTCAATTTATTATAGCATATAGTATTTTGTTATTTACAGTCGCGTCTGTCTGTGCTATTTCGACAAATGGAGCTGTGGAGGGTGGTGGTGCTTATTGTATCCTTTTCTCACATGAGCAGCAATGGCAACTATGTATTATTTATCTGAAATAAGCCAGCTCAGCTAATTATCTCTTCATAAGCTTATCTCTTTAAGATAGTTTATCAATAGATCAAATTACATTAGTCTGTTTATATTTGGCATATAATTGAGATGAATCCATCATCTCTAAACACACATCTATTTAAAAAAATGCCAATTTAATTATAACAAGCTTTATAAGACTTGAATCTAAAAATGTCAAGAGTATTTTCCTATTAATTCTTGTACAGTTATGATTAGTCGAACATTAGGACCTGAATTTGGCGGTTCTATCGGTACCCTTTTCTTCATGGCTAATATAGTGTCCAGTGCACTTTGTATCTCTGGATGCGCTGAGGGTTTGGTCGAAAATTTCGGTCCATCCGGTTATTTGAGCGGCAAAGCTGGACTTATACCGGACGGTCGTTGGTGGAGATTTTTGTATTGTTCCATACTAAACACCGCTAATCTCGTAGTTTGTCTCATCGGAGCCGCAATGTTCGCAAAAACTAGCGTCGCAATCTTGGCGGTTGTCTGCATCTGTCTAAGTAGTGTCTTTATCAGTTTTTGACTCAAGGCGCGATGGAGGTAAATATTTTTAAAAATAAAGATTTCGCGCGTTGTTAATTTTATTTATTTTAACTTATTTCTTATTAATTAATTAAATATTTTATTTGAGTTATAAAATTAATACTCTTACGCTATGTCCTTCCAGATACCAATACCAGATGCGAATACATTGGTGCAAAATGCAACAGAGCATGTAAATGGAAGTTACACAGGTCTACTGTCTGCTACACTTTCCAGCAATCTCTATGCAAATTACAGCGCGGATTACTCAAGTGGAGGCATCATAACGGACTTTGCAAGTGTATTTGGTGTCCTATTCAGCGGTGTGACTGGAATAATGGCTGGAGCCAATATGAGTGGTAAATAAAATTATGTATACAATATAAATTATATCATTTACGATTGATATAAATAACTTATCCGTTTAACGATTAACAGGTGAGTTGAGAAATCCTGGACAAAACATTCCGCGTGGGACGTTATCCGCAGTATTATTTACATTTGTGTGCTACATATTGCTGTCCGTATTGACGGCCGCTACTACCAGTCGCTTTTTGCTGCAAAATAATTTTATATACATGATGCCGATCAATATGTGGCCACCATTTGTCGCTGTCGGGATTCTCACAGCGACTTTTAGCGCCGGTTTAAGCAACTTGATCGGTTCTAGCAGAGTATTGGAAGCATTGGCCAAGGATAATGTATTCGGTAAATAATTAATGGCAAAATGTACAGGGTATCTCATAGGAAATTGCTGAAACTGATCAGCTAAAAAAAGTAATGAAAAAAGTGTTAATAATTACATATAGTAAACTAATGATAAATATTTTCAAAGTGCGCACTATTTGAATTTGTACAAAATTCTGTTCTTTTATGAAAACTCGTAAAAACTTTTTCTAATATGTCATTTTTAATGTTATTGACGATCCTTTTAATAGTTGCTTTTAAATCTGGCACTGTTAAAAATATTTATTGTTTATGTGATTATTAGCACTTTTTTTATTACTTTTCAATCAATAAAATAACTGGTATACAAACATATTATTTATATCTATTAAAACTGCAAACTTATTCCTTTCCAACACAATTTTTGTTTTCTCAATAACTGCATGCATTAAAAATGACAGCTAATTAGTTTCAGCAATTTCCTATGGGACACTGTATAACAGAGAGATGCTAAATATCTTAAATAACTAAATAATTCTTTACTTTATTCCTCGTGTCTAGGTTCGGGATTGAATTTCATAATTCAAGGTACATGGCGTGGCAATCCGATAGCAGCAGTATTAACTTCGTGGCTTTTGGTGCAGACAATCTTACTCATTGGTTCATTGAATACTATCGCTCAAATTAATTCAGTACTATTTCTCTTAAGTTATCTCGCTACCAATCTTGCGTGTCTTGGATTGGAACTCGCTAGTGCACCAAACTTTAGGTATGTTATTGAAATATATTTAAGGAATTATATAATAAAATATATATTATTATTAAATATTATAATAATTATATAATATATAATTTATCTACTTCATGAGATCTAAATTTTTTTTGCAGACCAACGTTTACTTACTTTACATGGCACACGGCGACTATAGGTCTCCTCGGAACACTGATAATGATGTTCGTCATCAACAGCATTTACGCTTCCAGCAGCATAATATTGTGCTTAATCTTGATCATCGTCTTGCATTTGTTCTCGCCGAGCAAGAACGCTCCATGGGGCAGCATATCTCAAGCGTTGATATTCCATCAAGTCAGGAAGTACCTGTTGATGTTGGACTCGCGCAAAGATCACGTCAAGTTCTGGCGTCCGCAGATGCTGCTGATGGTCGCGTCTCCGCGTTCCGCTTGTCCTCTCATTGATTTTGTAAATGACCTAAAGAAAGGAGGTCTCTACGTCATCGGACACGTGAAGGTCGGCGAATTTGCCGGTCAGAATAGCGATCCTACGATAGACGAGTATCCGCACTGGCTAAGTTTAGTCGATCACATGAGAGTTAAGGCCTTCATCGAGTTGACCGTGACGAAGACTGTGCGCGAAGGCATGCATCACTTGATAAGACTGTCCGGAATGGGTGCGATGAAACCGAACACGATTGTTCTTGGTTTTTACGACGAGGAAGCGCCAAGAGACTTCTTCCTCGATTCTCAGTACGCGACGACGATGTTTGAAAATACTACAACGCTTCCGAATAACGCTGTGTTCCCTCTGAGGCAAGCAACGGGCGAAAAGAATCTGGATCAGATTCAGTATGTCGGGATGTGCTCGGATATTCTGAGAATGAAGAAGAATCTCTGTCTGTGTAGAAACTTCCATCTATTGAATAAAGCGCAGTTAACAAGGTGGATAAAAACTTTTGACGAATAAAAGAAAATTTTGAGGATGATCGATAAAATAGGATACTCTGCATGTATTATATAATTAATATATGACTGTTTTCAGAAATTCAAATCTGAAATACATCGACGTGTGGCCAGTCAATTTCTTTCAACCTACCGATCAGGATCCATTCGATACGACGTCGCTATTCATGCTTCAGCTCGCTTGCATCATCAACATGGTATCTAGTTGGAAGAACTTGCATCTCAGAGTGTTCCATTGCGAGATCGCGGACGGCAGCGAGAGCCTAAGTATCTCAGATTCCCGCAGTTCGATGAACGAATATCCGAGAACCTCGAACGAGCACAGAATACGGAAATCGTTGAACTTGCTGCGAATTTCCGCGTCAATTAAAAAGATCCCGGAATGGGCAGAGCAAGTTCGAGGATTGAAGGGCAGATCTCTGCTTGAACCAAAAAATCAATATGAATCGAGCACCGAGTCAAACAGTTTATTGAGCAACATGTCTCGAGCTTATATATTGGGGTAAGCATTAGCTTATTCTTTGACTACAATTTTTCTCACAGTCAATAATTAATTAGAATTTTAAATTCTTTAAATCAGAAAGTCAATAGTGTATTTCAAAATATAATAAATCAAGATGGAATAATTCAAAATTGATAAGGAAAAATTTTTTAAATAATTAATATTCTTAATCAATTTAATGAAAAGACTATATTCATTGATGGATCAAAGAGAGAAAATAAGTTTATTATAATTTTTAATTTTATTTAAATTTGCAGGATAAATAATTATTTAAAGTAATATTATTATAAAAGAGGAATATATATATATATATATATATATATATATATAAAATAAATTAATGAAATTATAATAAATAAAATTATTAAAATGGATAATATTATTGATGTTCAAAGCATTGGTATTATATGAGGAATAAAATAATATTTTTAATAAAAAGAAAAAATATTTTTAAATTAACAATCTAATGTTTTAATATACATATACATATATATATATATATATATATATATATATATATGTTTTTTTATATTTAAATTAATACATTTTATTATTTAAATAAAATTTATTATTTAAATGAAATATAATTTTATATATATAAGACTAATTTTAATCAGTTTTTAAAATTTTAAAAATTCTCTTTTATTAAATACTTTTTCTTGTTTTTATTTTTCAGCGTCAATCAACTGATAAGACAATATTCTTCTCAAACTGCGACGACATTTATTTATCTACCTGCACCGCCAGCATCGAACACTTGGGACGAGGATGATATGTATCGACAGTATCTGCAGTTGTTGACGGAATTGACTGTGGATCTACCACCAACAGTTTTGGTGCACGGTGTTAGTGCAGTCACATCGACCACCTTATAACAAAAATTAATACGAATAGACAATGTTTGAAACTTTCTCCACAGGTAACCAGAGGAAGAAAAATAAATTTTACAAATATACTAAATTATAATTTCTTGGTCATAATGTACTAATTTAAAAGATTATATATAATTAAAAGATTATATATAAAAAATTTGGAAGATATACCTATAATTTAAGATTATATATATATATATATATATATATATATATAATCTTTTAAATTAGTATATTGACTGAGAACTTATAATTTAATATATTCAAAAATGCACAAAGAGTTATTTGAAGATAATTAGAATTTATTATATCTATTATTAATAAATTAATTTGATAATTATATTAATTAATAATTATAAATAATTTAATTATTATTTTGCGATACATATACATAGTAGCATACAATTACGAAGCAATTGAACTAATTGAATTTTAGATTAATGGATAACGTTTTATCTCATCTTGGAAAGAAAATGTAAAATATCTTAAGTACTAAAATTTATTACTGTGATAACAAACATATTATATAAGAGACTTTTCAGAAACAAATATTTTTTAATAGTAAACGATTCTAAAACTATATGTAAATATATAAAATATCTTAATATATTTCCATATATAAGCATACTCTTACTGTATTTTTCACAGTTTTATATATCATATTTCGTATTATTATAAGTATTTACTAAAATAATTTAATTATTTACTAAAATAATTGCAAGCATCTAAATAAAAACTTACTGAAAGTAATACTGGAGTATATATTTACTAAAAATAAAAAAAACTGTGATTAAAAAAAGAAATCAATCTAATCGAAGAACTTATCTTTTCTTTTTCCCGCCTAAAAATTAAAAATAGTCAACGACAGCATAGGTTTGTTCTTTATTGCTGCACTGATGAACTAAACTAGTGCATACTAGTGCAATAAGTTAGAGTAAAACAAAATATACTTATCTTACTTTAACCACAGATTAATAGACAGATAGCCAAAAGTCTGGATGAAGGAGAGACCAGCATTTCTCACTGATTTCAGCGCCATATCGTGGTAGTGGTCAATGCAGTAACTATTAATACGTTCCTAAGATGAGCGTCTCATGCTCATGAACTCGTCCGGCGGCATGTACGAGATTTATCTTTTCGTAGCGTTCGCGTATTTCGGAAAGGACAGAATTTTATGATGTTATAAATAAATAAATAAATAAATAAATAAAATATTAACCTGACCTATTATAATTATTTTTTAATAAATGTTTCATTATTATTATCATCTAAGTCTAAGTCGTTTAATTAATTTTTAGTTTTTTAATAATTAATTTAATTTATTCTAATCATTTTAATATGTGAAAAATACTAATACGTATACGTTTTATAATGAATTAATATATTTCGAGAGTCGAATTATATATTTTTAATAATATAAAAGTGTTCAAAAATTATATTTGACTTTTAATTTTAATTATTTTAGCAAAGAGTTCCGAAATCTCTTACACACATAATAGGGATTTTGTTCATCCATATAATTCGCAATTAAGTATATATGTTAATTATTAATTTTAATAAAATACAAAATTAAAATTAAAGGTCAAATATAATTTTTGAACATAAATATATTTAATTCGTTATAAAACGTATACCCGTGATAGTATTTTTCTCGTACAAAAATAATTAGAACAAATTAAATTACTCATAAAAAAATAAAAAATAATTAAATAATTTATATTATATATGATAATAATAAAACATTTTATAAAAAAAACAGATTCAATAAATATAAGTATATATATAACATGTACTTATATTTATTGAATCTGTTTTTTAATAAAATGTTTTATAAGCTTAGAAAACTTGACTTTGACGTAACTAGCAAATTTTATTTATATAAATTTAACATATATAAGATAGGCAATAAGAGCCAAATCGCGGATGACAGTGCGTTATTCTAAACGAAACTAAATTTTTTCGTTAGAATTAAATACCTGTGCACAAGGCACCAAATTTTTACTTGGACACGGCCAAGATATAAAATTGGAATAATCTCTACAAGAGATTTTTAATTCCATGTATCCCCTATTCCCCCTAAAGAAATGAAGTGCGAGAGAAAAATATAGATCCGAAAGTCGCAGAATCGGGAATCGAACCCGAGACCTTTCGCTTGCCGGGCGACTGCTCTTCCAACTTAAATTTTATTTAATTATTTCACGACGGTTTGACGTAATAAAATGTTTTATTATTATTATATAAAATATAAGTTTAAATTCTTTAAGGGGTTATACCTACCTGCAAGGTCTGAAAAACACGTATTTTTGGGAATTTTTTTTTTAAATATTTGAAGTGCTTTGGAAAGGAACATTTATGTTTTCAAATATATATATTTCAAAGATTATTTAGTATTTTTTTTATTGCAAAATGTTGATAAATAAAAAAGATATGCTTAATCTTCCAGAAGCAGTTTTTTGAAAAGCGTTTTGCGGTGACCACTCTAACTTTGAACTGGTTTACCAGAAATCAAAAAACCCGAGAAATTTAGTTAATATATAAGATTATCTAGTGCCCGATCGTTCATTTTTTTGAAAAATTAATTTGCGACAAAATGGCGGCTGTTCAAATTTGAAGGTATGATTTTGCTACCAAAAATTCGCTCGTTTTTTATTATTAAAAAAAAATACGCAACGAAAAAACAAAAGCCACGATCGGGCACTAGATTTTTTAGTATTAAAGATGTCTACCAAATTTTATTTCAATCGATGCAGCGGTTTTCGAGATATTTTGGTCACCGATTTTAAAAATGCTGTTTTGAGAAAAACGCATTTGAAGTTTCAAATTAAGTTCACAACCAAATAATATATTTATATATATATTTATATATATTTATATATATTATTTATTTATATATATTTTGGCTTTGTATAGAGACCGCTTTTGTCCGCGTCGCAGCTGCCGTTCGATACCTGAGACCCGTTTCTGTACCCTGCTTCTAAACAGCAGGATACGTTCACACCAGTATACCTTTAAACTCACATAACTTCGTTAATTTTTGTCGAATCGACTTGAAATTTGCAGGGAATATTTTTGAAAGTATGTACTTTAAGAAAATATCAAAATCCAAAAATCGATTTTTTTGAAGTTTGCAGGTAGGTATAACCCCTTAATTAATTTTTAATCTTTTATGATTAATTTAATTTACTCTAATTATTTTTGTACGAGAAAAATACTATCATGGGTATACGTTTTATAATTAATTTAATATATTTGTGTTTAAAAATTATATTTGACCTTTAATTTTAATTTTTATTTTATTAAAATTAATAATTAACATATATACTTAATTGCGAATTATATGGATGAAAAAAATCCCCATTATGTGTGTAAGAGATTTCGGAACTCTTTGCTATAAAATAATTAAAATTAAAAGTCAAATATAATTTTTGAACACTTTTATATTATTAAGAATATATAATTCGGTTCCCGAAATATATTAATTCATTATAAAACGTATACGTGATATTATTTTTCTCATATAAAAATGACTAGAATAAATTAAATTAATTATTAAAAAACTAAAAAGTAATTAAACGACTTAGACTTAGATGATAATAATAATGAAATATTTTATTAAAAAAAGATTCAATAACTAGTAGGTCAGGTTATAATTTTTTATTTATTTATTTATAACATTATGAGCTATTAAGCTCATCATCTCGTTCGCTCTCCGTTCGCGGCAGGCGGTTTATTTTTGATTGTTGCAAGTGTTTTTGTTTTTTTTTTATTAAAATAGATAATAATAATGTGAAATAAATCACGATATTTGACAGATGTGCATATATATAGAAATTGTAATAATAATAATATTATATCATAAAATTGTAAATTGTTTCAATTTTTTATAGACTGCGATAAAAGATTTTACATTTGGATAAGAAACTGCGGTAAGTAAAAATATAAAATTCTTGAAAACGTACCAAAAATATTTGATAACGTAAAAAGGTGAACTTTGAAAAATAAGGAACTTAAAAATTGCACTAATAAATGGGCTATATGTGAGCCGTGCGCGGATGTAAGGTGTGTTATATCGAAATTTAATTAATAGAATTGAGAATTAATCCCAATTTTAAGTCTTACAAATGTCCAAGCTAATTTTTTGTACCTCGTGTACATTTTTGAAAGTTATATCGAAAAATTAAATTTCAATATGCGTCTTACATCTCACATTTCGCATACGGCTCACATATAGCCTATTTATCTCTTATACTTTATTTCAACTCTTATAGAAATTTATTACTAGTAACGCCAATTTATCACTTATTTCGAGTAATTAATCACTTTTATTTCGAATACTTAAATTACTGTATATTATAGTATTTTAAATACTCAAAATAAGTGATTAATTGGCGTAGTGATAAATTTCTACAAGAGAATAAGGAGCCTTTAAATTCTTAATGTAAAAAATTTCAAGTAATTTTCTTTAATAAAATTTAATTAAAAAATTTAATTAAAAAATTTTTGAACACTGTGTTATATCACATTTAAAATTGTGATTATTTCAATAAAAAAAACATTTTATGTGTAAAAAATATATTTTTTATATTTAATAAATTTTATATATATATGCATATATGTAAAATATTCTCTCTCTCTCTCTCTCTCTCTCACACACACACACACACACACACACACACACACAACGGGGGCCAAATCTCTCAAATTGGTCTCATGATCAATTAGCCTGGATTCGCACCAGGGGCAAAGTCTGTTGGTAATGTCAAACGAATTTAGCCTGGACTTGCACCAGGGGCAAAGTCTTTTGGTCGAGTCTACGAAATTTAGCACGGACTCGAACCAGGGGCAAAGTCTTTTGGTTCAAGTCTACGAAATTTAGCACGGACTCGAACCAGGGGCAAAGTGTGTCGGTAAGGGGCAAAGTCTATCGCACGAAGATGGCGGTCTCTTCTTTAGGCAGGCCTTTGGCGATCTGTCTATCTAAATGCACGGGCGAACTCCGATAGGGTCGATAATGAAGATTTTTTAAATATAATTATCGACAAAACTCTACAGATGTCGCAATAAAAAAGTTGTCAATCGACACACACATACATATACAGGGTGTCCC